ACACGCACGCGCGAACATATACACACGCACGAACATATACGCATACACGCACGCGCGAACATATACGCATACACGCACGCGCGAACATATACGCACGCACGAACATATATGCACACACACGCGCACGAACATATATTACGCACACACGCCTACATTGTACAAACAAAGACGTGCGTTTTGCTGCATTTCCTCTAACAGTCTTTCTTGACCACAAGGTTAATAATGATTATAAACACAAAGACGACCAACTTCCAACAAGTATGATATTGGATAAATTCATGGGCTGCATGTCATTTAGGAGTCTGCTGACACGAATAAACCTCTGTGTGCTCGCACATGCAACGAGCCATGTACTCCGCGGCAGGGGAAGACCACAAGCCGTGACCATCGCACGCACGTTCACACTCGCTACCAGCACAATCAGGAAACGCCACGCGCCGTGTAGCCCTGAGGTGGAAAACTGATCAAGCAAACGCTCGAAGAAGATTCTGGTGGCGCAGCAGCGCACACAGTTGCTCATTGCATTAAGCTTCTCGTTGAAACGATTAAAAAAACATTTTAAAATTAAAATTGAGAATCAATTAATTTAAAATTTAAACGAAAATCGCAGACAAAGACGTACCATGGCCGTGACAGCAGGACGGTTGCCACGGCACATGCAGATAATGCGGCTGTGGGATTGGCTACGAATATAACGAAATACGTAGTCATTGCACTACACTTGGTCGAAACCCCTGAGAATCGTCATGATAATTCTTCCCTATTATAATATTTATATATTATATGTTTATATGATTAAGATGTAATCAACAGACATGTGTCGACGGAACGGACTCCCACACTCACGAGTATTTTTTGGGGCGCCACTTTTTATGCACCAGCAATTCATTACAATGATATCCTCCTTAAATATCATTCAGTAACAAGGGTATTCGTAACATTATATATTACTATTATATCTTCTTGACTTGTTGGTTCGGGTACATGCTCTGTGCGCGTGAATATCTTATCATGAACTGGAGTCACGATAAACCATTCATTTTCCTTAAAAACCAGATAACAATTATTAATTTCAGTTTATTATATGTTACAATATTGGAACCAATTATTTGTTATTATTTATTATATTTATTTTGTTT